ATAATAATAATAACAATAACAACAACAATAATAATAATAATAATAATAATAATAATAATAATAATAATAATAATAATAATAATAATAATAATAATAATAATAATAATAATAATAATAATAATTTTATATAGTTCGGTTGGTTCGATTATTTCGTTATTTTAAAAAATAAATTTGCAATCGAATAGAAAAAATTGATATTTGAAAAATAAAAATAGATAACCGATAAAAGATATAGAATTTTAAACTGAAAATTGTAGTTAGATCGGTTTATGTCTATATTGTGCAATATGATAGTCATTAATGTACGATTTACCTATCACTATCGTGCACTTGTATCACATTCATTCTTAATGATTTGTTGCAAATCAAACTAAAACAAAACTGTAATAATCGATTTATTCGATCAATTAATCGAATTTTCCTAAATAATAGTGAGATTTATTATTTAAATAATGAAAAATATTTATTTAGTATTTTAATATTTTACATTATTGCTTGGAAATAATAATATGCACTCTCGTAGATAATAATGTGCATTATCGTAGACAATAATGTGCATTCCAACTAACATTATTATGCAGACTATTGATTAGAATTTTTTTATATGCATTTCAATTTTAGAAATTTTAATAATGTGTTTTTAATTAACATTATTTTGCATTTATCAACTAACTTATATAACAAAAATATATATTTAATAAATTTATTTTTATTTAATATTTTTGTATTATAGTTTGTGGAAAATAATAACGGAGAATTTTTCAGTCATATAGTGTTCACACTCAATAATGTGCAATCTAATAGTTGTTTATGTGCAACACGTATAACACTATTGTGCACTCGCAACACATAAAAATGTATAAATAATAATAATAATAATAATAATAATAATAATAATAATAATAATAATAATAATAATAATAATAATAAGATAATTTTAATATAAATTGTATATATTATTTTAATATTTTATTTGATAATTGTTATACTATTTTTAGTTGAACAAATATAATACTGAAATACCAAATACAATAATGAGCATTCTCATATACACTAATGTGCATTTAGTCTAACATAATTGTGCATTCAATTGAGCGGGTATCTTTATTGTGCATTATCAATTTATATATATATATAAAAAAAAATATTTAGCTTTTTATAGTTTTTTATTTAATATTTTATATTATTATTCGTTGAAAACAAATAATATATAGATAAATTATGAAAACATTTTTTTATATAATTCAGTGGATTTTGTTAATTCACTTTTCTTTATTTTAATTAATTTATTTAATTTTAAAATTAAGTTGAAACCGTATTGAACTAATCAAAATTTTAATATATGTGAAAACACACAATTTTTATGCTAATGTGCATTCACAAATGCATTAATGTGCAATCGGTATAACATTAATGTGCAATATTATAATCACTAATATTCATTTTGTTTATTGTGCATTCGTTTTTTCTTTTTATGTGCAATCCAAACCTAAATAATTAAAATATTTTATTATTTATTATTATAAAAATATATTTAATATTTTAATATATTTTTTTAGTTAAAATAACAAAATTATGAAAGTAACAAATTATTTTAATATAGTACCTCTGCTTAATATTTTATAGTAGTTTTGGTTTAAAAGAATATAATATATATGTATAAAAATATGTTTTTATATAAATAAATAACATTTTTTGTATTATATTTTTTATAAATTACACATTTTGTCCATGGACTCAATTGAAATATAGTTAAAACTTTTGTAATTTACATTTGGGTCCCTTCAAATCATCTAATTTACAAAAAACAAGCCCACCCAATTTCTGAAATTTTGTTCCTTCCATCCCTGGAATCAACCTTCTCCTTCTTCCCGTGTCGCCTGACATCGTCAATCGGAGAAGCAGCTTTGCCGCGGACGTCCCCTGAATAGTCGGAGTAGCTTAGCAGCGGAGGTCAGGCAGAGGGATGAAGGCGCGGCGGTGGCTGCGGTGGGTTTGGAGCCGCGTACATGGGTGGCGGATGTCGGTGCCGGAATATGGTGACTGTATCTACATCGGACCGTCGGTGCCGGACTGCAATTGAATGGTGGCGCTGAAGCAGGTGCCGCCGGAGAAGCCAGGAATGGGCAGTGGAGAGGTTCGGTCGGCGGCTGGTGGGAAGCTCCGGCGGCGGTGCAGCGGTGGTTATGGTGTGACACTGGGTTAGCTGCCGGCGGGGAATGTATGCGGCTGACGGTGGTGATGTGTGTGTCCCGACCTGTGTGTGTTATGTGTGTGCGTGAGAGAGAGTGTGGGGAGGGGTGGGGTGGGTGAGACGGGTTGATGTGGGATGGGT